TCCTCACCCTGTCCTGCATCCAACACTCGGTCTCAGCCTGGAGCCACCTCCTGCATCTAAACTCCTTCTCAAAGCATTGGGGTGCAGGAGTGAGTGAGGGATGTGGGAGTAAGCTTGGATACAAGAGGGGGCTCCAGGCTGGGGCAAACTTCCAGAGCTTGCAATCCTCACTCCTGCACCCCAAATCTCTGCCCAAGCTTGAGAGTGGAAAAGAGTGAAGAGAGTGAGGGAGGGTGTGGGGATGGAGTAGGCCAAGCGTTGAGGAAGATTTGCTGCCTCGGGAAGGGGTGGGGTAGATCATATGTTGCCCTTAAATTAAAAAAATGATCTTCAGCATAGAAAGTTTGGAGACCACTGGCCTAGGAGATCAAGACACCAAGATGATGGTCTCTCCTGAGACTGAGCTAGGCTGCTGTGTAAATCCCCAAGGGTTCCAAAAAAACCAGGGCATTGGCCACTGTCCTTGCAGCCATGCCAGCATTTGTGGTGCCGAGGGTTGGGGTGGCATCGACAAGGATCTGCTCTTGTCTGGGCAGCGGAAACCCTTGCTCTGTGCCAGCCGCTGATGGCACAAGCACACTGCCCAGTGACTAAGAACAAGAAGGCTCACAACTACCTCTCAGAGAGGTAAATGCTCTGGCCTACCGGTGTCTCTCCGACCACGCAGAACCTCTATCACAGAAAGCCGGGATTGGTTCGGGAAAGGTGGATCTACATTGGTCATCCAGCAATCTAAGCCTCCCATCATCTCTTTGGTGCTGGGATCTGGAACAGCACCAAGTGCTGGAGCAATCTTGGCAGTCTGAGGAGCATCAAGACCAGGACCAGTGCCAACGAGAAGATGACTGGTGCACCAGGGAGCAGTTCCAGGGATAGTGACAAGGCCTTGGTGATGTTAACCTCAGTAAGTCTGCACCACAGCGCTGGTGAGAGTTGTCCTGACCCCTGCCTTTGTCTCACATCAGGAGACCGAAAGGGCGTCTGTGATTCCTGTCTCCCAGACTTCAAGACTTGGCGGGACATGGGGGAGCACTGGCATTCGTATCCCCTAGAAGACAGATGCCCTGAGGAAGCCCTATGCAGCTTGCCTCCAGAGCATCGCCCACAGGGCGTCTGGAGTCAGCGGTGCCTTAAGGTTCCAGCAGCCATCATCACTGCCTTTCAACTTCCTGGTGGGGGCAATGAGCTACTCAACGCAGGCCGAAGCTCCCCTCCCTCTTTCTCCTGGTCCTTTTGGAGTGGCCCTTGGCCAGCGCTTCTGCTTTTTATACCAGGGTCGGCAAGGGTGAGCGGGGCTGACTGGAAGAATGCACGACGGGTGCGTTCCTCACCAGATACACAGTGCCTGAGGTTGAGGCCAGTGACTGCTCCCTTGCTGGGAATGTGCCAATTCCATTCAAAGTCCTGCAAGCAAATGTCACTTTCCTTCTTAGCATGGGGCTTGAATGAGCTGCAAATTTGGCCCATGTCACTAACATGCCCCTCACCAAGACACTGCAGACAAGTCTCATGTGAGTCAGTCACAGGCACAGGGCACTTGCACAAAACACAAGGTTTGAAGCCTGGGAATCGGAGCATGCGCCATCCTGGACAGCGAACTCTTAACTAAGCTAACTTATCTAAACAGCTGTTAACTAGAGGGTATCTAGCTATGATGAGTCAAAGCCAGCAGTTTCGATGCACTGACACTGTCGGCAAAAAGGAACTGAGGGTGGGTGAAGCATGCAGAGCCTGCTATACTGTGCCATGGTGATGCCACCCCAGGGGTCACCAGAGCCACTCCACTCTAGATGCTCCTGGGGGAAAAGCTTCCAGTATGGGTGCACGTGGAGAGCACACACCCCTAATGTGGAATGGACATGAGCAAGTGCTTGAAAAGAAAGGAAACTTATCTACCTAATGAACATGAAAAATACTGATTGCAAATGTAAGAACAGTGATAGCTGATGGCCAGCTCATTTTCCTTTCTTCCAGTGTGTGTAAATACAGTGGTTGCAAAAGGCATGGGAACACTGACACTGTCACCTTTCATGGACCTCTTAGACATAGCTTGCCTCCATGGATCACAGGCTGAAAACCAGTAGTCTAAGCTAACATCAACTAGTGAAGTCACTAGCTTTCTCATTACTGAAGGTCATGATAACAAGGAAAGAGCAAAGTCGTTCTCCGGTGCAGTGTAAGTCTCTGACTTCTTCAGAGCGTGAGTCACCTGCACTGAACTGGTCAGAAGAGAGACTTAGGGTACGTTTACACTGCAACACTATTTTGGGATACTGGAATATCCCAAAATAGCTATCCTGCGTCTTCACAGCGAGACTGTTATTTCAGGCTCGCTATTTCGATGTCCCTGTAAACCTCACTCTACGAGGAGTAAGGCATTTTTCAGAATAGCACTTATTTTGTGGTGCTGTGCAGCCAGTGCCAAATGACTAAATAAGCTATTTCAAAATAGCATAGAAATAAGTTACGCAATTTGTGTTATTTCATGTTATAGTGCTGTGTAGACGCACCCTTAGTGTTGCTATCACCGGTGGCAGCAGTTCTGATCGTGCTGGAACCAACTGACCCAGAGACTTCGTTGGTCCTGATGGAATGGGTGTCCATGAAACAGCGTCTGGTACCAACAAAGCCCTTCCTTTATGGGTGTTAGACTCCTGGGATTTGGCATGTCCCAAGTCCCTAAAGATTAACAGAGCTGGTCTGCTCAACCTCTCAAGATGGACTACTTCATAAATGACTTACATTTGCATAAGAGTTCTCTGCCTTCCCAATGAAACCCCAACAGGGAGATTATGGGTACACACTTCCCTCTAGCAGAGTTGGACTTTGCAGTGGGAGGTGTATTCCACGTAGATTTAGACTGATATACAAGGGCTGTCCCCTGGCCTGAGCCCAACTGCAGCCCCATGCTCTTTATGAGATGTTTTCTAGGCCACAATCCCTAT